CTCCATAGCTTGAAAACCAAAGAATATACTACAACTTTCAATATGTAAGATTTAAAAAACAAAACCTAGACTGTCAGGTGTTTTCTGAGAAACTAACAGGGCACAACTTTGAAGTATTTTTCAATATATTTGTTCAAATCAAGAAATTGAGGCAATACCTTTTAAAATATTACATTCTATAAAAATAAAAATAATAATTTATTCAATTTATATAGCATTTTCTAAAAATATTTTTTCACAATTATACAAAAACTCATAAAAAAAAATAAAAATGTATATAAATATAAGACAAGATAAAATATGAATTGTAAGCTTGCTTATTAAACCAAAATGTCTTTTAATTAGTAGAAAACAGCACTTAAGGGATTTGGAATTTTTTTAGTTGATTTTCATTGCCTGTTACATTTCTACATTTTAGAAAAAAGACAAACACTTTYAACTTTGACTAGAAATAAACATCTCATGGCATTATTCTCATCTTGACACCTTTTTGATGGAAATTGTCCTTTTTTTTCAAAAAAACGTTTAGCAAAATTTTCTTGTTTTTCCTTTTAATATTTCAACTACAGTACTAGTGAATGAATATTGATAACTTGYAAAATACATAATCTCTTTACTTCTGTCATGACAAATTGGAAAGTCCATAGTCTATATGAAATGTATTTAATATAACGAATAACTGAAAATTCAAGATAAATTCTAAAAATGTTTTGGGCACCAGAACACATTGAAGTAAGACCACAAAATATTTGATTGGTTTTACATTGCATAAACTAACTGCCACAGATTGATCACYACATTAAAATTTGATTCAAACAAGCTGTGGAGCTTGCTTAGTTGACGATAAAATAATCACTTTTGAATGCCAGTTTACAATACACAATCACCTAATAACCAATTTTGCTGTCAGATAATTCTTATAAAATAGAAAACACAATTTCAAACTGCTGTTTTTGTCAACTATTACAGCAATAGACTACTAAAGTGTGATGTCACAAAAAAATTTTCGGATTCGTTGAAATATCCTTAAAGCGCATGGAAAAAGTGTCCTAGTGCCATTTATAGCGGAGATACAAGCGATTTTATGGTCGGGTGACCACATACAAACACTAAAATGTTGTCTTGTTCCTTTCGTTCACCCATATTTAGCAAGGATTCATTATGAATTATGCACTTTCAGAATATGGATGACAAATTTCAAAACTCGTTTTTCGTTTTGTGACGTCATCACTTTAGTACTCTATAACTATGAACATTCTTTTACAACCAACATTACATTGCTTCAGCCTGTATGTATGCTTCCTCAGTTGAATAAGTATAGGTAATAATTTGGGATAAATACCACACGTGATATTTCAAAATTGTCAAACAAAAAGTAGTATTTATCCCAAATTCCACGTACAAAACATGCTATTATTTGTTTATAAAATGGTTGAATAAAATTGTGCAATTTGAAATTAAAATACCAAGTACTCCTCTAAGCCAATCAAATTGCACAATTCTATTTTTAACCATATTATAAACAGTGAAATTGTTTTTTTTGTTTCATGTGGATTGAAAAATGACCTGATTAATAAACTACATGTACAATTTCATGTAATAAATGCAGTAACAAGAGGACAGATGTACAAACTAGACAATCAACACATGATTTATAATGTTTGCTGAATCAATCATTCAATCCACTAATTAATCAATCAACTTATCAATCCACCAATCAACAACTATCAATCAATCACTCAATCAACTTATCAATCAATTCATCAATCAACCCACCAATCAATCAAATCATAAATCCACTAATCAATCAATTCAATAATCAATCAATTCATCAATCAATTAATATCTACTATAGGCATCAATCTGGTCTGTGGCAAATGTTGGGAGACTAGGTTCGAGTGATTTGATTGGCTGAAATAGCCGGTTCGGATTCTTCTCTCAATTTTATTTTTCGGCAAAAATTTGTGCGTAGTTTTTGGTATTTTTTTGTCAAGTTAGAAGGAGTTTTTGGTCAGAACTTCCAACTATGTAATTCCTTGGAAATTTAGCAAGTGGATGCGAGCTTTGAAGGCGAATTTTGCTTTAAAAGAGGTTTGGTTTGGTGACTCATTCATGCCCATGCTGCATTCTTCGTTGGACTTTTCGCGCCATTTTTATCAACAAAACACAAGAGAAAAAGCTGATTTTGGATATCTTATACTGTTATTCAAGAACGTAGACTATGCCTATATCTATCCATTAATTTATCAATCAATCAATTTATTAACTAACAAATCAATCAGCCAATCTATTAAATAATTGATCAATCAGTCGATTAACTACATTTGTATCCATCAATTTTACTAATATCTTAAACAAAACACATAGTGTATTTGTTCACTAATAGTTATTTTTACAATATAATTGATGTACACTGAAATGCTTACCTCAATCCTGTACAAAGTGAATTTATTGCGYCCAGGCTCCCAATCAGATTCAAACGCAGTCTCAGAGCTTGGTATAGAAATCATCTGACTTGGATGTATTCTAACAATGTCTTGATYATTACCATTTTGTATATTAATATTGGATACACCGCCATAGACTATTTCTTCTTTAATTCCCCCTGTAGGGGTCCCATACCAGGTCTCTGTATCACTCTCAGAGGAGATATCAAATACGGCATGACTGCGAGAAAGTTTACGACCTGAGTTTGGAGAATCAAACTTCACTGGTCTATGAAGGGGCAAATCAGAATCAAAYGAAGCAGCRTCTATACTTGATGGGACATTAACTTCCATGGAGTCCGCTCCTGATGACATRCTTGTACTAGATTTRGAACTGCTGCTGCTAAAACCAAACTTTCTAACGGGAGAGCGAATTGATGAAATGAACTTTCGCCCAGCCATTATGACAGAGTCACCAAATGACTGATCTGTGTCGAGTTTGGTTGGAGAGGTTGGCGATGTTTCTGACGGTGACTTCAGATCTATAGAATCGCTGTCTTTTGAGCTTTGTGATCCACTTTTATTTCGATSGAAACCATTCTCAGAGATTTTTCCATTGATGGCTTGCATTGTATATTCATGAAGGGAATTGGGYTTTTCTGGTGATCCGAACCACCCATCTTCTACAACTTCAGCTTGTCTTGCGATTGACTTCCTTCTTGGAGGTTTCATGATTGGTAATGGTGCTATATTTTCCAGTATTTCACCYGTATCACTTTCACCSCCCTCGTCCATTTCCTCRCCCTCTTCAAGGTCAAGGTCACCATCACTGAATGACTTGAAYGATGCCTCACTGCTGCAGAAACTAAGATTTTGATATGGCGAACCATACATATTAGATGGATCATTGAATGTAGAAGAACGTACTGGTCTAGCTATAGGTYCACATGGYTGCTYTTCACAAACAAGAGCTGATGACATGTTTGTTGGGAAGCTAATTGAACGAGTAACAGTTTTCTTTGTTGGAACATCAGCAATGCTACCATAGTCAACGTGGTCTTGTACATTCTGCAGCTCGCCAGGCATTGACAAACTTCTACATCTTACTCTCTCAAAGGCTCCTTTGGTCTTTGGGTATAATTCYTCACTRACCTCAAAACTAGTACAACAAGATCCAAGTTTTTTAACTTCTGAACCGAATTCTTTGACTTTATTGGAGGAATTGAACTGCCTCTCCCTTTTTAAAGCTTTTGCCTTCATAGCTTCAAAACTTTCAGTATGGAAAGTAGTGTCTTGAGCCGAAGGACAAAATCCCCACGAAGATGCGAGGCTGGATTTCATTTCTTGGTCACTTGCTTGCCGCTCGAGTTGAGAGRGGATTTCCGTAGAAGAGTTTGAAAAMGGCTTGTTTACATTCGCATTATTTGTACTATCAAATTGAATTAAATTTTCTTTCTTCTGCAGTGAATTATTGCTGCCATCTTTTGACGAATCAATAATTGTATTATCAAGTTTATCAGAATTTTCGCTTGTCCGTCCTTCGSTCTCGCACACCTGTTTCACTTCCGATGTTATCTCTTCTTTTGAAGTTGTCGTTTCGTTTAYYGCTTTGATGCTGGTATTTTCTTCTTCACAAGCTTGATTTGAATTATTGTCWTCCACTCCAGAAGTCTCTAAATGTCCATTAATTGATTTTAAATTACTTTCAGTGAGGTTTCGAAGTGTAAGCTGTTTGTTCTTGGATTCTGGAGGGGTTAGAAGATCAACGATCGCTTCGTTTACCCAGTTTGGGTCACACAACAAATCAATCAGTTCAACCGCTTGTACAGCTAAAATCTCTCTTAAAATAAATCTTCCTAGATCACAACTAAAAACRTCCCGAGGCGTTAAAGCCGCCAATAAAGTATCYACCACAGTTCTCAAATAATTCAATTCTTCCACTGYGCTTGTTAGCGCAATATGCTTCGGTTGAATTTGMGATTCGTACGTGCTATGAAGAAGATCGCCGTATGTCAGTCGAAGTCTGAGGTTAGGATCTTTTTCTTTTAATRCTGATATGGACTTGTTATACCGAACCAAATGTGAATGAAAAACTAGGATAACTTGTTCCACTAAATAATGCGAATCAAGATGGTTCATTCTATGATATACCTCCGACGCAAGCCTGTTGAGYACTGTAYGACTTTCCAACACGAACACTTCGCCATCAGCAACWTCCTCGTACCACGACTTTACAAAATCCCGAAGRACATTATTGACCAATTTCTCAACGCTATCMGATATAGGCTTTGGYAATTTGTTTTTATATTGTTCTTGAGTGTTGCTTTCAGATGTAGAAAGGGTCCTTCCRTCAAGAAAACGWGGGGMACCATATCCAATCCACTCGAAAAACTTGAACACGACTTCGAAATCGAGCTCACATTTGTTGACAAGGAATAAATGAACCAGCCACAAACTAACGGCAAAGAATACTGAATAGTATATAAGACATTTCCATGAGAATTCAGCCAGAACTAGGGCTAGAACCGCTAGAAAGGCAGAAAGCAAGAGCATGATATTTCCACCCTACCCCATCTTGACCATTTGTTGTTGAAAACCACTGGGTGTGCTTAGTAGCCTGGCCTACCAAATCTCGTCGCTGCTCGGCTACCCATCGGGATTCACGAAAAATTCCCGAATACTGTTCAAACGAGGGTTTTTTCATTTTTTTCCTGCGAGAAACATGCTTTGCTGAGCTCAGAAACAGRAGCAAGTCTTTGCTTTCTGTACTGAAAAAAATCGAATACACCGCGAAAAGGATTCTGGGTCAGAAGTCAAAAATGTCTTCATTTGCAATGAATGAAGAGCTCCGTCGGAGCTAATTGAAAATCAAAATAAAGGTAAAATCTCAAAAGTATCCTGAAAATAAGTAAAAAATAATAATAGAGTTTAGTACTATTGCGAAAAAAGCAAGTAGAACGTTCAAACTTTATGAAAAGATCGCAGAATTTTTTGATCAATTGTGAGAAAACTAATTTGATTTTATACGAGACTAGCATAAGCATACCTTACGGTAGTCTCCGAGAAGACATGTAAATCACATCGGCGATATGAATGACCCACATGTTTTGCAATTCAAAGGAACAATCCATTGTTTGATATCATAAAATGTTGCAAAATACAAACAGGAATTCCTGCTTTTTCAATCTTAAAAATATTTCAAAAGTGAAGTTGTACCTTGCCTATGAGAGAGGTGAAGCGCGCTTCAAAAGTTGTTCAAGGTCAAAATTTTGGCGTGAAACCTCGACCACAAGAAATTTAATTGGACGTGTTAACAACTAAATCACCTTCTCGCAGTTTCTTTTAGCAATGTCATCGTCAAAAGAAAGAAAAACAGGAATGATAGAATGACACCTTCTGCAATATTCAATTTCGAAAGAGGAAAGCAAAATTATTAGGAYATTGTTTAAATCAACTTTACATCTTGGTGGTTCGTTATATATCTATCAGTAATTTTTTTAAACTTTCTGTTCATGAYTGCTCTGGCGTTCTAACTGTATAATTCTGTCATTCAATTGATCTATTTATTAATCACTATAAAATTTTTATGCAAGTTTTCAAAAAAAATAGTTTCTTTTAA